GGAAAAGCGTCGGTATTCGCAATCGTCAGCTTTCAACTGAAGACAAGGAAATCCAAGCGAGGATTTCGAAACCGTTTTTTGGGGAAGGGGGAAAAACAACCAACCAGCGGTTCATGCTACCGTGCGCGGCTGGTGCTTATGACTTTCATTAGTTTTTTTTTTAATTTTATTTTAATTATGCTGTTGGAAGCTGGGAGACGAACAAGAGAGGGAAGTTGTGGTGGTTTTTGCGGTGGCAGACGTCTCCTGTCTCTAACCGTTTTCATTGTTGGACACGTTGAAAGGTATGGGATTTATCTTTTGTTTAGCAACGAATTAGAAAATTGGGGCACAGTTGGTGTGTCAAAATCAAGTCAGTGTGGTGGGAATTCTGATCGTTTCACCTCATCCTCACATGGCGTTTTTCCATTATCAAGGTAATGCCTTGTTGGTAAATCTCTTTTCTCATGCAACAACTTTGCACAAGAGGAGGAGGCGAGTGGGACTGGGGGGGGGCATCTCCTAATCTTGTCTTGGCCTCAAACTCAAAGTTACCCGTTTGGTTGTAAAGTGGTGATGAAACTTTCACTGATCCATTGCTAACCATTTTATATTTCGGCGGCAAATTAAAGAAGCAGAGGAGAAAAGTTATTTACTTCTACGCAGTCACATGTCACCTACCAATACCTTAGAGAATTGGATCAATTTTCTCATGTCTAAAGTACATGTTATGCCTTTGAACATATTCCCATGCATCAGACCTTCCAGGATTCACCAAGAATTATAAAAGCTTCATAACCCAAAGAGAATATCTGAAACATTTTGGAATGTTGACTCGGACCTAATAAAATCTATTTGGCATTTTCCTTTTTCTCTTTTATTCCTCCCTCCTTTTTAATCTTTGGTGTCAACTTTATTTCTCTCCCTTTTGTTGCTAAGATGTAATCTGTCCTAATAACATAATTATGGGCCATAAATGTTTGGAGCAAGGGGAGATTTAAGACAATGAGTGGAGTCGATATATACAAACCTAGCTTTTGCAGAAAAATGAAAAACTCTTTCCACACCTTCTAAGATGAACATGATTGATGTGGTTACAGGCACTATCCAGGAACTGACCTCTTATCAAATGGTCTGCATTCTGATCTCATGAAATTATGGACTTTGGTTGTGTATTTATAGACAGATTAGAATTCGGAAACACATGTTTGATCCAGATGGAGCAAGATAATGATACCAAAGGTATAGTGGCAAGGCATGCTTTGCATGGTAGAGCCCAGAAAACACCCCAAAATCAATCACTACCAATAAAATCTTTCTAACAAGCCAGTCTAGTCGAGGTACACCCGAAGGTGGAGTTAGTGCTTCATGGACGTAAGCTCCCCTTTTCCATTTCCTTTTTCCTGTTACACTTAGGAAAATCAAACTTTTATTCAAAAAATCAACCCTCACTCGAAAGTTGCCCATGGCCATGCGCGCATCCCTTAGCATATGAATGTGTAAACGTTAAAGGCAGTTTGCTAGGGAAGAAGCCCGCCCGGCCTCGTGTATGACAAGGACGGGTGCTGATAGCCTTTAAATCCTTATTAATTCTGGCCATAATAAACATGAGACCAAGACCCCAAACATGGAGACCGATATTCTGACCTGCAAACGAGCCACAGTCGTCGTTTGTTACATTTTTACTATTTCATGATTTATATGGAATGTGTTTGTTGAAAAATAATTTAACACTTTATAATTTCAATGAAATATCATTGTTGAGATAAAAGCATTACAAGTTTTAATAAATATATATATACATAAATATACTGATTAATTTTTTTAAAAAAATAACATTAAAATGTTTGATATATAAATATTTTATTAAATTAAAAATATATTATTAATTTTCAAAACTACTTTTATGTATCAAATTGTTAATTTAACAATTTAATACACTTGCATGGCAAGAGATGCCCATAGGTCTGGTTGAGTCTACTAAGCATTCCTTTTCAGGTTGTCGTGAGCTCGAATTAACTTGCACATAAAACTATTATTTTATTATCAAAATAATAAAATATTTTTTATATTTTCAAATATATTTTAAAAAATAAATAAAATATTATTTATTCATAAAATAATTTATTAATCAAGTAAGGTTTGGATTTCAAAATATATACCCAAAGTGAAACGAATCGGAAGAGTACTTAATTTTACGTCCCCGTGACATGGAAAAGTCACATTACTTTCTCCTCATGTAATATAAACGTGATGCAACATACTCTAGGCCCATCATTTTATGGCATAAAATAATGTCCCCTTTTTATTACATACTTTTATATATTTAAAAAAGGAAAACAGATTTCTCACATTAAAATTTGTTCTATACAACAAACTATAAAATAAAATAAAATAAAAATATATTTGAGTTTGACAAAGCCATGCTCCCTGAATACTTTATGAACCAAACGCTTGCACAAAGCACAACCTTGAACTAGTGAGTATAAAGAACAAAAATTTTTGAATCATGATTGCATTAACTGGATCTACTATAACTATATCATGCACATCATGCCTCGGAATTACCACCCAACCAAAATTTTGCTTACAAGGCATTACCCATTCGAAGAACTCATTATTTGGATCTGTTCAAACACAGATGTCGCATCAGCAAAATTAATAATACTACTACTACTTACAATAAATATAGATAAGCAACAAACAAAAACAATGAAATAAGACCTTTAAGAAAAACAAATTACCTTATTCACAAGCAAGTTTACTTGTTCTCTGTACATTTCCTTCAAGTCTACAATATCAGCGCGGAGTTCCTCCAGCTGGATAGATGCAACCACTTAAACGTAAGAACATAAAGTGCAACAACAGTATCATACCATGTTTCTTCTCATTTTACTATTGGAAAGCCAGACTGAGTCAGAAATCCAAACACTCAATGAGACATGATACTCAAAAATGGATTGCTTATGAACATTCATTTTCATCATAATATTTAGTTAAGCTAAGCTCATGTAGTCTCCCTGCTTAATGATCTACTGATACCCTACATCAAAATTATATCGGTAGGCCTCATGATACATCCTTGAATGCAAAATTTTGTTTGCTAGCAATTGGAGAGAATACAAATTTAAAAGGGCATGTACCTCCTCATCACGTTCACCCATTAGTTCCAGAGCAGCAGAGTGTCTTCGCCTCAAGGCTTCTAGCTCTGCGCGGATTCCAGGCAGCATGGCAGCCTCCGCCTTCAACTTTTCGCACTGCAGCCATTGTAAAAAAATGTTTAAGGGCAATGATTTGAGAAAACTACAGACTAGAATATTGATAAGTAAAACCTCACTCACTTTAACTAGGCAGCAGATGGAAAACTCACCTGTGCAGTCATTTCGACTAACTCCTCAGCTAAAGAGTCACGGATAGACTCCATTGAAGTCTGAAGTGAACAACAAACAAAGTTAGTTAATATTAGCTATTTACACATTAACTCAAATCAGGAAATGTCCAGTACAGCACACTGGTTGAAAACATGTAGTGATAAATATAGTTTAATTCAAGAGCACAAAGAATAATTCATACCAAACGAGACATGTATGATGCAAGTTCACCCTCCTTTTGACGAAGGGCAGACTCAAAAGCACTAGGTGTCATGCTCTTCATGTAGAGTGGACTTAATGTTGCCTCTCCAATATTTCTCTTTTCGGTGAAACCATCAGATGAGTCCAAAGATGCTTGTAGAAAATAGCTTTCCTCCATGCTTCCCATGCTGCTAGCAGTAGAGAGTTTCCGGGACAAGCTGCCTGCACCACCATCACACAATAAGTAAAGAAGATCACAAAGATCAACTACATCATAATTCGAAGCATCATACCATTCTCCAAAGCAGAATTATGCCTTGATATTGAAGCTTGCTCAGATACAGCCACAGAATGTACCCGTGCTGTCCTTTCTAAGTCTAACCGAGCAGCTTTCTCCCTTTCCACTTCCTGTCACAAACCAAAAGCTTCCTTCTGTAAACTGAACCATAAGATCAAATCTAAGAACTAACAGGTTAAATGGGTTGTATAGGCACAAAAAACACTCAAGCAATGCCTCATCTAATATAAACTACATATGAAACTTTTAGAATATGCAATCATGTCAAGAATACAAGATAGCCTTCTTTCTTACCATCAAAGTTCAAGAAAAAAAAATTCAAGCAAGGTCATTCAATTAAAGAGAGCTCCCTTAGAAGCTACAGACAAAAGAAAGGGAGATGTCCCAGTTGATCAAATACAAACAAAGAAATTAACATAAGTTTCAGCTAACTATGAATCAAAAGCACAACCTGCTGTAGAAGTTCCCGGTGCACAAGTGCATCATGTAACTCTTGCTTATGTTTCCGTCTTAGTTCCCTAATTTCTTCTTCAAGCTGGTTTGCCCGACCTTCTTGAGTATCAGCTTCCTCCTTTGCTGCTAGGTATTCCTGTCTATTCTCAGCAGCTCTCTGTCTCTCTTTCTCAATGGACTTGCTTAGCTGCGTTTGTTCTGCTCTAAGACATGAAATCTGAAGCAAAGCAAAGCAAATGTTTAAGCTGATAAGTAGAAATGTTTCCACATGAAAATAAATCAGCCACAGAAGTAGAACCTGAGCTTCAAGAACATTAATTCGTGATAAGGTTTGAGATAAGCGTTCATTCACAGATCGCTCTCTCTCTTCCGCAGCTGCAGCTTTGGCCTCTGCTTCCTGTAGATTCAATAGAATAAATAAATATTAAGAAAAAGTTAGGACTATGTATAAACTTCACCATGTGATATCATAACATGCAATAACATTCTAGACACCTGAAGACGAGAGTTTAGAGATCTCTCCACAGCAGCCCAAGCTTCTGCTCTTTTGGAAGTTGTTTCCTATTGACATTAGAGCAAAGAATCAGTATACAAACACATTTAACATCAATATAAGGACCAATAGTCCTTGACGTTTGTTAAGAAT